AATGGGGAGCATGCTTATACCACCACCTTTCGGGCTATTTTGATGATTAATTATAATTCACTTTGAACATGTCTGAAAATTTTCATACATGTTAAGTAACAAGGGAATTCTATTGGTTACAGATCTAAATCAGATTTTGGTTTTTTTTTTTAAATACCTAAGCAAGTAAAATACTAGTAAGTGGTATTTGAGAGCAGAGTTTGCTGAAAGACAAATTAAAAAAATCAACAGGTTCCACAGCTTTACTTGATATCTTGAGAGAAAAGTATGCTGAATATAAATTCTTGTAGATCAGACTTTTCTTTTCTGGAGCAGCATGATCCAAAACTTACACCCTCCCTAATCCAAGGCAAAAAAGTGAAGGATGTTGAACTTGCCTTTTATTTGGTTTGGTATCAAACTTTTTGGACATATCAGTAAAACATGAGAGTTTTCATGCTATGGGACTGGTCATTAAGAAATCCTATAAATGTGCAGGGAGGCTTCTCCAACACGTAATTACAGCGCGTTGTAATGGTAATTGCTGCAGTCCAGCAGACTTCAGTGTCATTCGACAAGCTTTAGTTCAAAGTGCCCTGCCACCATTTTTCAGTTCAGGGATGCTGATACACATGATGATCCCGGTGCTTTAATTAGCATGGCTCCTGGAACTGTGCTAATTAAAGCCCCCCCCCCCCACCACCACCTCCCGGAACACATCTATGAACGCCCAATATTCTCTACTTCTATTTATCCACCTTTAAAATGAGAAGAGTATTGACTAGTGACTACTACCCTTGAGGAACAGTTTGCAAATGTGCATCAATATCAACTCAGATAGACCAACAATCCACATCTTTACAGAAGGATGTTGTTTTTGAACTAGCAACTTTGTTTTTAAACAAAACAGAGCTAAAAGAGATGACACACAACCCAGTGAACTGTGGAAATTCAGCAATTTTTACTTAATATACAGTTAAGGTTAAGTCCATTCAAGTGATCTGCCACCAAAAGGGGACATCCTATGCTGCTTATCATTTGAAGAACAGCTTCTTATGTTAGAATAGGCTACCATCAACATTAAATAATTATTTTAATATGCGCTCAATTCTAAATGAAGGATTATGAGTACACCTTTTTATGTTTTCTGACTACTAAAAAAAGATATACAGAGAGGTTCTTGTGTTTATTCCTTTGGGGGTGTTTTTTTTAAGCCTTCATGGAAGGTTGTAAGGAACCTGATTTTCTTAAAGGAATGTTGCATAAACATGCATTTAGGTCATTTACTAGCAAAATATATGTCCTGTGAATCAAAAAGGTTTTATACTGGGTAAGTATATTCATTCATACATATTTTCATGTGCATTATTTACATAATAGACCATAATGCTCCCAAAGGAGACATTCTGCTCTACAAAATGCAAGGTGCTTAGCTGACAGACCAGATACTATGGAATTGTTTTGGTTTGCTAGGTCACATTTAAGCATTTTTTATTTGAAAAATTATTATAGCTGCAATATATTGCACAGAAACAAATTTATTGTCACATAGTTCTGCATGGGAACAACTACACACATCCAATTAAGTTCTAAATAAGATACATGCAATGATGTGTTTATGCACAGTAACTCTGATTTAAACATAAACTGCTTTATCATAAGCACATTCAAATGCAAAATGGGGCCAAATCACTTCAGACTAATCATCTGCAAAATTCTGTTTAAAAGCAAAGCAAAGAAAGCATCTAAACTCTGCATATTTATCATTATTTGGTTTAGTCGCATATATTTAAGAAAATCACCACAAAGTCTTTTTTTTTAAGTTACAAAAAGATCTGTACATGAGCAAAACTATTCATGTTAAGGTTTGGCCCTAGACAAAATTTGCATGGCTGGACAACTCCTAAAGCTCTCAATTGGAATTTCTAGCCTTGTCATATCTGTAGTTGTTCTTAAAGTCCCAACTCTTTTTTTTTTAATATATACACCATTAGGCAAGAAACTCAGCTTTCATTTACAAACAAAAGCTAGTTTCTACAGTTTGTGGTTGCAGAGAAAAGATTAAGAGTGACCCAAGTGAAGTCTAAAAACTCAAAATAGGAAAGCAAATCAAGAGAACTTCATTTTTTTTCCTTTTAAATCTTATGATTCTTACATCATTCTGACTCACTATTTTGAATACTTGAGGCTGGCAGTTCTGGAAACCTGGCAATTCACGCAAACCTTGGTGCTAAACGATGCTTAAAGTTACAAAATTTAAAAAGAAACCACTTTAAGTATAAGGACGTGGTACGCCAAGGAATGAAAATTTTGGAACGGAGGGAGGTTGACAGAGGCATTATTTTTTGCTACAACTGATGCCATCATATTCAGTAAATTCCATACTACAAAATGAACATGCCTTTTGAATCTTATTATAACAGAGGATTTTAATTAAACTTTGAAAGCACTTTAACATCTTTCAGTCTGAGCCTGCCCTGGATAGTGCCACTTGATGTGGTCTCCTTCAATGAGTGAGGAAGCAAATCTCTTGAAACCACAGGTTAAGACATCTTTTGCTTCTGTCTGCTACTGTTTCTCACAGCTAGCTAGCTACAAAGCTGCTGCCTTGGTACCAAGTAGGAAGAGCTTTCCCAGTGGGAACTCTTTGCTATCTCCAAAACATACTGCTTGCTGTGTTCTTGATGTGGGAGGAAAGTACACTTAAAATATTAAGCAAGAACACACAGTGTTAAATAGTATGAGTCTGATCCCAAATTCGTTCACTTCAGTGGGAGCTTTTCCACTGACTTTAATGGGAATTATATCAGGCTCTGAGGAGAGGGAGCAGGGCAGGAAGAATACTGCAGTTTCTTATATTTCAGGTCTCCTCTGAGAGCCGGATTACGTGCCAAACATGAGGAAAGTGAAGGGCTTATTCAAGTCACCTCAAATAAAACAATCATTCACTTCTTCCCCAGTAGCTTGTGAAACCTGGCTGTACTACACTGAAAGTATTTAAGGAAAATGAGCAAGGCTGATTCAAAAACCTAAAATAGAAATGAACAGTCAGGAATTTCTGAAAGGGGTGGAAGAAAGGGTCAGGAGAAGGCAACAGATCTGCTCTGGTTTTTAGTATATACCATCCAGCAAGACTGCATTTTAAATCATCCCCCATCATTCTTTCCTCGCCCACCTATCTCCCACCTTTTTATAGAAAAACATAAGGTAAATGCCTCTCAAAGCAACTGAGGACTGACTAGCAGTTTTCAGATGCTGCACTAGAAAACACTGGTAATCTTTCTTTAATTTCCCACATTTTACAGAGCGGGGGGAGGGGTCATGATCCTGATGAAAGCAGCAAAATAAAAAAAAGAGGGATTTGAAACGGGTTCATCCTCACCCAAGCCATCTGAAAAGTCTTTATGCAATCAAGGGGATATTATTTCAAGAGAGAGAAAGAAGGGGCAAGGGATTCAGGTTGCTAAGGCGACATGTTGAAGCTGACATTCCTACATAAATTTCCATTTATACTGAGGAAGAAAAGAAGCTCTCCTGGAAAGTTTGTTTAGACCTGGTAACTGAATGAAGGTGGCATTAAAAATATATATATTTTTTGCAATCATGTTACACAAATCTAAAGCAAGCAAGGGCCAAACCCACCAAATGTTGTGCAACACTGACAACAAATGAAATCATTACAACACTGACAGCAACAAAGGAATGCCTGTGATTTTTCCACATACATATTATGTTGGTTCTGAAAATATTAAAGGATTTCAAGAAGCCAAGAAAAGTAGAAATGCAAGCTTTCAAAGCAAGCAGCAGAAAGCCAGACAAGCATTAAGTGATCTTTTCCTGTATGGTTACCAAAAATCTGAGGGCAAAGACTGATCCAAATGGATGATTTAGCATGCTTTATGCGTGGGCTTTGGTTTAATTTGCAAATGTTTCCATTGGGACTCCAGAAGTTGTTGCAATGAAGCCTAAAACACTCCATGAGAAGAAAAAAAAAAAAGAGAACGATTTTTATTGAGAGAAATCCAACAGGCAACTTGTTTCATTCACAACCAGCTTCTGAATATCCCAAGAAAGGTTTAAACAGGAAAGCCACCGGGTTTTTTCTCCATTCATGAAAAAGAGGGACAAAATGCAGAAGAAGAGACACCAAGAAACCAAATTAAGCAACAATAAGGCAGAAGGAGCTTAAAAGGGAAGGAAGAACAGGAACTTGCTAAGAAGATGCACAGACACATCCAAGGGGGCAGAGAAGAGCAAAAGGGATAAGAAAATCCAGAATGTGTCTCTGCTCAGGACAAAGTAAAAAAAAAATGTGGTTTCTGTGAGCTTGTAGATATGCCTAGACAAGAGATAACTTTGCAGGCAATTCCCAGCTGGAGCACAGAGATGCTCCTTAATCTCCATTGATTCCTCATGATGTGGCAAGCAACCACCACCCCACAAAAACCAAAAACCAGCCACAACTCAGGACCTTTTGGGAAAACACTGAGACATAAGGGGCCACCCGGTTCCCTTAAAGGCAGCACCCCTTCTTTAAGCCCCTCACCGCCTCCCTGACCATCCAACTGGGGCAGGGCAGGTGCCCCACGGAGCTTCCTTCGGCATGCATGATTTACACAAAGCCCTCTCCAGTCCTTTGGGGGCTAAAAGGGATAGATGGACAGGGAGGCAAGCCTGGGGGGAGGCGGGGGGTGAGTATGGCTGATTGGAAACCAGGATGCGGTACCTTGGGAGAGGATGGATGGGGGCTGCTGAACAGGGAGCAGATGGGGCGAGTGGGGAGACCAGGCTGGTGGCCAGGTGGGGATAAAGGTCAATGGGGGGGAGAAGGGGACACAAGGGTGATGGCAGAGAGGGCTGAGGGAGCCAGGGCTTGGGTGCCTGGGAGGGGAGGATGGTGAGGGAGCGGATGCGGGGAGAGGCAGGAGCTGGCTCCCAACCCCATCCCGTCCCCTCCTGTCTGGTCTTCCAAGGTGGCGCTGGAGCTGCCAGGGCTGGGGGGCGGGGAGGGGGGTTCTCACCGCTGTGCAGGGTGGACTCGCAGATCCAGTCCAGGTCGCTGAGCTTGCGGCAGGACTCCCAGAGGGACAGGTAGTACTGGTGGTCGGCCGTTACCCAGGCCGGGCTCAGCACGGCGCCCAGGTCCAGGCAGAGCGCCAGGAAGATGCACACCAGCCCCACCAGCTTCAGCGGG